TATGTATGTAAATATATACAAATATGTGCATATTTATAGGTACATGTGTGTATATACATATATATGTGTGACCAATACATCAAATTACTTACTTCCATCACTCCAGAAAGCCCCCTTCGCTCTTTTCCAGTCAATCCCCTTTCCCAGTGGCAACTGTTCTTATTTCTACCAACATAGATTAGTTTTGGCTTTTCCTGAACTTTGTATAAATGGAACCATACAATGTGTATGACTGACTATTACAGATAAAGTTTTGAACATTCTCAAACAAATCATTTTGTAAACATAGCTTTTCCTTTCCTGTGTTTATATATATCTAAGGATAGATTTACTGAGTCACAGGTATATAACTTAATTTAAAAATTACTAGTTTTTCAAAATGGCACCATTTTACACTCCCACAAATAATGTATGAAAGTTCTGGTTTCTCCAAATATTGTGCTAGATTTGTTAGATGTCAGTATTGAGGTTATGAAACCCTAAAAAATGATTTCAAAAGATTTGTTTTTTTCTGTGCTCCAAAATGTTTCAAGTATCAAAGCAATTATCAGTTCCTTTAAAAGGTAATTCCCCCATGACATCTCACCATCAATCACCAGGGTTTATTTGGTTAATGTGGCTTACCAGGTGGTATTCCCTTCTTCCATGTTCCAAGCACCTTTTCAGAAAACGATTATCTTTTCTTCTTGATGGAAACTATGTAAGTGTTTGTGCTCCCCTAACAGAATTTCCAACAAGCTCTTAACATTTATGGGAAGTAGAAATAGAGAGGTCACTTTCTTTTTTAAGAAAATTATACATGTAATTTTAAGAGTGAAAGCCAGGAAATGAGACTAGCATTTTAGACAATTCTTTTAAAATGCTGTATGTGAAAAAATAGTCAAGAAACATAGGCTTGTTTAAATGTCGAAGGAGACAGCCCCTAAAAGGAGCAATCAGGAAACCAGAAAGAGAAGGAATTATTGATTATTCTTCTTTCCCTTCTCCCCACTAAAATGTAAACTGAATGAAGGCAGGAATTTTTGCTCATTTTGCTTATTCCTGTTTGCCCAAGTACTGGAACAGTAGCTACAGTTTACAAGATACTCCTATTTGTGAACGATTACATTTTTAAAAGGCAAGGGAGTGCCTGGAATCCACATGTGGAAACCCTAGTCCTCAATGTGATGGTATCTGGAAGTGGGGTCTTCAGGAGGCAATTAGGTTTAGACAAGCTGATGAGGTCCTGCGGCCCTACGGTGGGAGTAGTGCCCTCTTGAAATGAAGAGCCCATAGCTCTGTCTCTCTCCACCATTTGAAGATACAGCAGGAAGGTGGCCATCTGTAAACCAGGAAGACACACACCAGAAACTCACCTTGCGGACACCCTGACCTTAGACTTGTAGCTTCCAGAACTATGAGAAATAAATTGTTTAAGCCAGCCAGTCAGTGGTATTTTTCCTATATCAGCTTGAAGGAAGATAGGGAAAATTAAGAAATTAGCCTTAGGCAGAAGCCTAAAATATCTTGCTTAAAATTCTTCAGTGTACTTTTCTGGAGCTCCAGATACTACATTTTGTAGTGTGGCACTTAAAATCTTTTAAAATCTATCCTAATCTATTTACATATATCTCCCCCTCGCACCTAAATCTGAATATTTTACAAATATCCTCCCACACTTTAGTATTCTCCATGTTTTTACTTAAATCTTCCCTCTGCCAAGAAAAGTCTTCCATATCATTATGACTGATGAAATTCCACATATCTTTCCAGATTCCACTTACTCATTAACCCCAGGCAAGAGGCCTAAGTAAGAGCAGCACCTAAGAGCTGGAGAGCCTTCCCCCGATGGGTGTTGGAGTGTCAACCCATACACCAAACGGCCTGTCAGGGCACATACCTAGGTTGCGGGTTCAATCCACAGTCAGGGTACACCTGATTAATGTTTCTTTCTTGCTTGCTCTCTCTAAATATCGATAAACATATCCTCAGGAGAAAACAAAGCTGGAGAGTCCTTTTTAATGTATATGCTGGTTACTTTCATTCTGTCCTTGAACGATTTAAGTGAGATAGGTATTGTTTCCATTTTTGCTCAAAATAATACTGATACTTGGATAGATCTGGGAGTGAGGTCCAGTGTAACTTGATTCTAAAGCTTGCACTCCTTTTTCTGTACTGGATGGCTTTTGGGCCAATCCATTATTCCTTTAATTAGGATTGTATTTCGATTATCTTTACCTTTCAGTACACTGTGAGTTCCTTGAGAGCAGAGCCTGCCTTGTTCATCTTTTTACCCAAATGATTATCAGAGAATAAGAACTTAATATACATTGGTTGAAAGTAAATGGTGGCAATTGTTTATAGATCTAGTGCTGAATTCCACATTAGATGTTTTAAAACTAAACTCATTTCCCCAAAAGCGAAGATTTCAAGGATACAAGTAGCCTTGTTAACTCTGATTTCAGACAGGCATGAGTATGAATGAAGCACCTAGGTCTAACCACTGACTTTCCACGAAGGTACCATCAGCCTGAGACATGAATGAACCCTTTTGGGACAGTTTTAAGTTATCAGGGATGCAGAAAAGGATGGAGTTCTTGAATAGTATGTAGCTCATCTTGCTTTGTGGCAGGAAACCATGGCCTTGGAGAATGAGAGCAAAGTAGGTTTTTCAGTCTACTTCAAAGGATATTCCATAAATAGTACAATAGGTTAAACAACATAAACCAAATGTCTTCAATTATATAATTTATATTCTACTGGTAGGAAGTAATTTTATAATAAAGTGGGTGTGTGCCTGAAGGAAAATGAGAGGTCTGAACAGTGCTCAAAAGAAAAGCAAGCAAACCAGCCTGACTATTCCGTGGTGAGCAAGGGGTAGTGGGTAACTGGTAGGAAATGAAGTCAGAGAGCTAATGGATGAAAAGGGGCCATGTCAAACAGACCATGTTAAAGGCTTTGGAAGTTATGAGAGAGAAGGTTTCAGTAGTTTTGACCAGGTGATTAACATCATCTGACTTGCATCTTTAAACAAATTTTGTTCTGGAGAACAGATAGCAGTAGAGTAAGAGCACAAGGAGGAAGGGCCATTATGAGGGTGTGGAAACAGTACAGTAATAGGGGTGGAAACAATGGTTATCAGTAAGAGTGGTGAAAGGTTGTATTCTGAATGTATTTGGAAGCTCTATCCAAGATTTGCTACGTATTGCAAGTATGAGAACAGGTGGAGTCAAGGAGGGGAATACTAGGAAAAACCGCAAGTTTCATAAATAAAGAGCTCTATGTGGGATACTTGTAGATGAAATTGTGTGATCCAAGATTACTTCAAAATAATCCACAGGTTGATCATTGGTAATTGTTGAGACAAGGTGATGTGCACATGTAGGTTTATTATACTATTCTCTTTTGCATTTAAAATTGTTTTATATTTATTAATAGTTTTAATAATAATTTTTAAAGAATACTTATGGTTATACACAATAAGCTTGAGAGGCCCATCAGACTTCATGCAGAGATATTAGATATACAAACTGGAGTTCAACAAAGAAATCAGGGCTAAAAAATTGTAGAAGTTATCAGCATATTTAAAGCCATGGGACAGGACGAAAATAGCCATGGAGTGAACAAGAATAAAGAATAGGTCCAATAGTAAGAAACTGAACTCTCCAATATTTAGAGATGAAAAAAATCTCGAAAGGCATTTTTGCCAGTATTTTGCAATGTATACTAAATCACTAAAAACTATGTAACTTTGTATCAGTAATTCCATTTCAGGAATGTATAAGAAATGAATAGGAGTACTGTTTACAGACTACGTAAAAGATTTATTACAAATGCTCAGTAGGGGAATAGAAGTGGGGAGGTGGCATGGTGAAATAAACTGGAAGTCAGACAATGGACTGGCAGTGACACATTACAGGACATTCAATGGAATATTGTGCAGCAATTAAGAATGGTGTAGGTATAGTCTCAAAATTTATTAGTGAAGAAAAGCTGATCAAATAAGGCATTCTAGTTTGTTTTACACTTATTTGGTACCCTATAATGTAAATGTTTTGCACTAACCTTACCATCAATAACTTAAAATAGTAAATGTCATTATATTTGGTGGTTAAAATCATGCAGTTTTTCCCCACTTCATTTATCTGTATTTTTCTCAATAGATATAAAGGTATACAAGGTTAATTTTTTAAGTTAATTTTTAAATAAAGCTCATTAAGGAATTATAAAATACAAATGGCCTTAAATAGGAGTCTGATTTGAACTAATCAAAAATTATATTGATTACCTCTGACTGAAATAACTATTTTAAAATAAATATACCATAAGAAATTATTTTAATAGCATATAAATATTTTATTTAAATTAAGAAATGTAATAAAATTACATGCATTTGTTCCACTGTTTGGCTAACATTTCTAATTATAAATAACCTACACATTTTCTCAGGTACCAAGTTCCAAGTATTTCAATGGTTTCATGAAAGCATATTTTTCAAAATGTATAAGCTGTATTCTAAAATTTGATATTTAAACTCAGATACAATATATATTATACACATACTTTAAATAACCTAAGGATAAATAAGTTATATTAAAAGTCAAAGCAATTTACTTCTCTGTAATTAAAGTTACAACACACATGCCATTTTGACACATATTCAATGAACTATATCTAGAAAAATCACTGTGAATATCATTTATACTGGAGTACAAATTCACATAAATATACTTTATTTAAAACATTTTAAACCTATTTTAGAAAAAAAATTAAATGTGGACTAAGGACTTTTAAAATCTCGAGTTTTTAAAAAAAAATCAAACTGATCTAATTTTAAGATTTTAGACCATTAAGTGTCATTTTACTTCCACTAACTTAGCTAATGACACCATTAACAAGGTCTTATTCATGAGCTCATCCTTAACTTAAAAAAAAAAAAAAAAAACTTGTTCACAACATTTAACATTGAAAAGAATTTCAGTTTTCACTTTAAAAGACACATTTTTACAAGTCCAATTTAATAATTCTGTTTTTTTCCTACAATGCTTTTATTAGATAAAATCCTATTTAGGTCAACACTATGACTCTAAAAGCTTCTACATATATTTTATTAGTATCTGACTCAAACGTCTATAATTCTATGGGGATATTACATAAACATCTTTTCTTTAAACTGCTTATTTCATCTTGGTTATAAAAATGACCAAATACTACATTGCTCAAAATTTTTTTTTTCTTTTTTGGCTTTGAGCCATTCAGTGTCTTTTTTATCTCAAAAGTTGTAAGATTGTTTTTCTGTATCAATTCTGTTCAAGCACAGATTTATCAGAGATAAAAATAAAATTTAGTTTAATTTATTTTCTCATTACCACCAGTTAGGAGTCAGCCAAATCAGATGCTTTCATCACTAGAAAAGTGAGCTTTAAACCAAATACTCATTTTCCTCCTGTAACTCACATTTGTCTATTGAATCAGTTACCCAACCTTCTTGCAGAATTTTAAACTTTCTCTTAAGGGTTCTTCGAAAAGCTTTGAAGTCTGCTACACGACTATGATCCTCCCCAACGATTACATAAGATACTCCCTCAGCTAAATAAGAAACTACTTTTGCTCCATGAAATTGAAGCTCTAAGGCTGTAAAAGCTAATCTTGTTCCCTCGATTCTGCTACTCAGGTCATTAATAACAGTATACAAGTCCAAATAAATAGTGAGGTGTCGAAACATACTGAGGGGAGAGTAGTCCCCTAAGTATCGATATTCTAAATCAGCAATCACAGAAGCCATTTCTTCAGTAGTCTGTTCACCAGGACTTTTAATTCCTGTGAATACTTCCTTCAGTTGGTTCAAATCTGTATCAGCAAAATAACTATCACCATAACAATCATATTCATGGGCAAAATGTTCTTTTGTTGATGGGCACATATGAATCATAAAGCAAGGCTTCCATGGCACACAGCTTTTGGTCTTAAAACATTCTAACAGCCACTCAGGCTTGACAACATCATGTTTATTTGAAGAAATTATGTTTTTCACTCTTATGTTCTCAGACCCTGCAATAATGCAGTAGGTATCTGGGCCTGGGTTTTGTACTATATAACCACCAAATTCTGCAATTCTGTTCTCCAGATCAGTCTTTGGATGGCTATTTATTCCACTCATAACACAAAACTCCACATCTTCAAATATATTGGAAACTTTGTTTATGTTAGAAAGGTTAGGTGCTTTTAAGTGCTCGATAATTCCAATAACTTTCTTCATCTTTGGGGCAGCTTTCCGTTTTTTTTCTTGTGGTCCATCATTACTACTGACACAAAAGTGTTTAGATGCAAGCTTTCCAGATGCTTTCCCTCGAAGTTGTTCTAAGTCATCCAGAGTCATGCATTCATGCCACTCTTTGTCTTCTCTTATCTTCTCAATTCGTGGAAAACGCAAAGTGCAGCCTGTTTTATACATATCACTGGGAACAATCTCTGTCGCTTTAATCTGAACAATGACAGAATTACAAGGTTCAATGTACACTTCTGGTTTCTCCGTTCCACATAAAATGTTACTTGGTGGAGCTTTTTTATGAAAAGGTTTCCAGTGTTTGGCCAATTTCAAACCCAGATCATACAGTTCTTTCATGGTATAACCTGAGCCAACACGACAAAGAGTATGAAATACTGATGGTTTTTCACGAGAAGGGGGCTTCTCTGCTACAGCACACAAAAAATGAGACATCATTCCACCACGCGAACCTTTACCCCAGTAGCCCCCAACAATTATGATGTCCAGTTCATCCATCAGTCCAGTTACATACTCTGGCTTAATTTTTAACCATCCTTCACCTCTTTTGTCTGGCTTATAAATGGATAGAGGATGTTTTATCATGATTCCCTCTTCTCTTTTATCTATTGCTTCATTCAGAGCCTCAATTACTTCTTTATTAGTATGAGCTTCTGTCTTTTGCACTACTTCTATTCTACCTGGTATTGGTGTAAAAATACTACTAAGAATTTCATACCTCTTTCTCAGGGTTTCATGTCCTAGCTTTTTATTATTGACCATCAAGACGTCAAAAACACAATAACAAGTCTGCAGCTCTGAATATTCTACCATTCTTTTAATATCAAACTTATTCCCCTTTTGCATAAAAGTTTGGGTATTAGGATTGTAGGCCATCATCTCACCATCCAGGATACAAATTTGTATATCTGTTTTGAATGCCTTATGAATGAATGGTGTGAGAGAACCCTCATGTGGAGAAGCACCAAACTGTTCTGTATATTTATACCCATTCCGTGAGAAGTATTCATATACATCACCATCTTTGTGCATTTGCATACGCTCACCATCTAGCTTGGTTTCAATGTAGAAATTCTGGTTTTTCATGTCCTTCTCAATTCGCTCAATATCTGCTATTGCAGCTAGCATTGGTTTAAAGGGAGAGAATAAAGTGATAGAAATATCACTGAGTCCTACTGAAGGATCATGCAGTTGCCTGCAAACTTTTTCTAGATCTGTGGTGACATTGTGCAACTCAGCAGCATCATTATGAAAAATAGAAAACACGGTTTGCTGACTAACACCAAGCTTTAAGTCCTTTACAATCATTCGTATAAGCCACTTTTGTTCAAGTGCTGAACACTTACTTATAAGGTGAAGAAAACTCTTCTTTACTAGGTCCTTTCTTCTGGCAGAATTATTGCTGGCAATTGAGTCTAAAATGTCGTTTACTTGCTGTATGGTTAATTGTCCTTTCTGTAAACATCTTGGTTTTAACACAAAGTATGCAATCATTGCAAAGTCTCCAGCATCTCCATGAGTTCCAGTAGGTGTTCTGTAATTTAAAAGTTTAAGAGCATCTTTTCCTTCTCTAGGTAAATTGAGCAATTCAATATAAAGCTTAGCAAGCATAGTTTCTTTGATCCCATAGGCCATTCTCTCTCTTTCTAGCTGAGGAAGAATAAGTCTCATTGCTGGATAAAAAGAGTCTGTGACATCTTTTTGGTTCTTATGAAGGGCATCATGAAATTTCCTCCAAGAATCTAAAAATTCCCTCAAGTATCTGATTTTATCTACACGTCCTTTACTTCTCTGTATTCGTTCTAAAGTTGAACACAAATCTGCAAAAGGAACGTGGGATGCAACAGTTTGTGAGGTTTGTGAGGTTTGTGAGGCAGCCATAGAAGCGACGGTGAATCCTCTGGTTCAACTAATGAGACAGAAAGAGAGGAACTTTAAGTAAAAGATGAAACTCAACGAAGTATTTAATGTAAAGACCTTATGGAAAACCTGGTTCATCATATTTGCTAACTGGAAACAGATCAACACTATAAATGCTACAAATAATGCCCCTTTTCAAATTCTGCATTTAATAATAATCAACTAACTTACCTTAATTCTATTATTTATTATCAAAAGTAGTCGTATTCCATGTATTTACAATATTAAAATTAATCATTTTAATTCTTTCTTCCTAAGTTGCAGCTTCTATTGAAATTAATTATTCTATTCCTTACTCAGCAGATAATGCAAAAAATGATTGCTAATACTGAAAATGGCAGATAAGGCTCAATTCGCTATATTTCTGGGACTCTAAAGTAAGGCGTTTCCTTACATTTCTCTTCTCTGTCAGACACAGAACCAAAAACAAACTTCTTAAAACAGATGTTTTCAACAAATCATTAGCTTATTGAATTGAAATATGTATTTGTACAAAGTTTGAGCCCCTACACAGACAAGGCCCCACTCCATCAAAAAGAAAAAAAAAAGGTATCTTCTTTCACATTAACAAAGCCTCTATCTATGTTTATTCCTACTTCTTCACTGCTAGCTATGCTGATTCACTCTGGAATTCAAAACCCAACTCAAAGTACCCTCCCCATAAAATCCTCACTTGACCTGTCTGTTTTAACTCTGTATTTTATCACAGTTATTTACGATGTTATAAATTTCAATTCATTAGTACACTTTTTTGTTTCTATTTCATGCCAGTTACTACCCACCCCCGCCCCCAACCCAACCATTCATTGACTGCACATGAACCAGGCACTGTGCTATGGGCATATACAGTATGGAACTGTCTTAACAAAGCATGTATCCTGTAAAGAAAAAGGGACATAATGGCGTGGACAAAAAGAGTCCACATACAAAACCTGACAAACTCAGAGGAGGCCTGTGTGGCAGCCTTACAAACTCAGAAACCTAAAACAACCACATAGGATGATCTGAAATGAAAACTTTAACTAAAAGCAGTTCAGAGTGGGTAGTCATCTCCTAAGGCAGTAAGCAGTTGACCCTAAAAAAGGTCAATCTTCACCTTAACTAAGCCTGTTATTTTTTTTTTATGTGTAGGATAACATACCTGGTAAACATGCCTTTGCAATAACAAAGTAATTTCCCTTTTTCCAGACCCCCTTCACAGTGGGAAGACCACAAATGCCCTCATTATTATTGTTATCACATTAATTGTTGCCTGTTAACTATCCTGTAACCCATCTATGAAAAAAAGTATGCATCTATCACTTTACTTTTACCCAATCCCAGGGGAACCCCCCTTTTTTCTCCCCACCTCCTTAATCTACCACCAATGGATTTCATGTAACCCTCTCATGTTCTTTTGATTATAATGTATAAAATAAGGTGCAAAACTGCCCTTTTTTTCTGCAGCATTGTCTTAATTCGTTGAGGTTTTGCTTCCTGGCAACTGTCAGTTTGGCTTAAAGAAACTGATAAAAATTCTCACAGGTTTGGACATTGCTTGTGTTGACAATGGGAACTAATTATAAAATACTAAGTGCTTTAACAAAAACAAAAACAGCAAAATGTCATGACACAGAGCTTTTCACTGAAGTATCTTCTAAAGTTAGAGACAAAATAACATGTAGCTTGTTGTGCTAAGGTCTAGAATATTTGCCAAAGCAGTCAGAAGAAGTGTGAAATTTCTTTGACATTTTAAATGTCCATGTAAATTCTATTAGAATCTATAAGGTATCAGAATTATTTTAATATAGTTTAAACTATGTAACACTAACTTTTCAAAGAGACATCATGTAGGAATGTGTGCTCCAGGGATAGACTTTTTTTATCTTGTGGTTTCAGATACCTCCTGGCATATCCCTTGCAGCCCAGAGAGCCCACAGCAGTGTCACAGGGAATGAGGGCATCTGCTTTAGTGGAGAGACCACAAAATTCCCCACTCCAGCAAACAAAAGCAATCAAATATACTATCAGTACAAGGCTACAATATCTAGCACAAGAAACGTAATGGCTAACTACTGTACCACATTTACTAAACTGTTAGTCTCTAGGAGTCAGAAATCATGTTGCTATGTGATATGTGGCAACTATTTAATTTCTCTAAGATTCAGTTTCCTAAGGGTAAAATGGGGTTAATAATTGTAGAAATTAACATAAGAATGACATCAGATAATTTACTTAAGGTGCTTAACACAATACCTAACATTTAGTAAGTCTTCGATCAATTTTAGTACTATAATGCCTGGTGATCCAAGCAATTTGTGCCACTAGTAATTGGTGAGCAGGGTTTGTTCGTTGAATGAATTACTGAACACCTAGAGCTGAGTTCCTGAGCAACCACACTAGGGAATGCCAGCAGACAGACTGAGACACACACACACACACACACACACACACACACACACACACGCACACGCACACGCACGCGCGCACGCGCATACGCATGGGCCCTGGGGGCATTCAGCTTGGTTAACAACATTCAGCAGCGATGACTGTACTGGGAAAGAATCACAATAACCATTTATTGGTCTAGAGGGGAAAAAGCCACATTTTTCAATCTAATTCCTGAAGAAAGGAAATCCCACTTCCACTGAGTCAGTTAGACCAAGAGATAAACCGACGAGACTACATTCTTAAGACTTTCATCTTTGAATATAGTAACTGTTTCCCCTCACTGTCTCTCATTTGCATAACTGAATGTACCACCTGGTTATATATGTTTACTGTCCTACCTCTCAAAAATACATCTGGTATATAATGTTATTTTTATAATTTATATAATGTATGTTAAAATAAAGTATGTGAAGAAATACTACTTTAAGTGTTCAAGGATTAGTACATAGTTTCCAATCTACTTGTAGATTCTATATGGTCTCAAAGTCAGTTTTCCTCAAGTCCCAGGCAAATACTCAAATAATTTCATACTAATGTTGAAATCTATTTATGGGTATAGATACATATGCATGTTAAGACTGCCCTGGCCGAGTAGCTCAGTTGGTTGGAGAGTCCACCTGATGCACCAGGGTTGTGGGCTCCATGCCCAGTCAGGACACATTTCAATCAACCAATGCAAAAATCAACCAATGAATGCATAAATAAGTGGAACAACAAATTGATGTTTCCCACTCCCTCTGTCTCTCTCTAAAATCAATTAAAAAAAAAAAAGATTTCCACTGCTTTTTACATGCTAATTTTACTTTCTGAATTCTGGTGTTATTTTAGCTGAAGTTTTCAATTTGTGAAAAAATAAAACGAGGTTTGTCATTAGGCCACAGGATCTGAAATCCATAAACCTGAATTCCACTGTGGACTCTAACACTTACTTAGTGGCTATGTGATATGTGGCAACTATTTAATTTCTCTAAGATTCAGTTTCCTAAGGGTAAAATGGGGTTAATAATTGTAGAAATTAACATAAGAATGACATCAGATAATTTACTTAAGGTGCTTAACACAATACCTAACATTTAGTAAGTCTTCGATCAATTTTAGTACTATGCCTGGTGATCCAAGCAATACTTAAAAAATACTACAAAACACTAAGCAGATAAGAAGGGGGACACTTTTCGATAACAATAAGCAAAGCTTTCAAGAGGATGAAAATAAGTAATGAACACACAATAATGACTTGTCCATTCCGCTGCTGCCTACAGTGTCCCGATGTAATACAACAAAACACGCTAGCAAGCTTGTGAATATTGAAGATAATTCAAAGCTCTTTTATTGGAGAGAAAGTGATACAACTCAAGTTCCTTCGTGAAACCCTGGACTAGATGATGTGTCTTCCGTATGAGACAGAGCGTTTACAGTACCGTATCTTCCACAGCACTTTGTGACATTTGGGGAGAATCTCAGCAGAAAGAAATGAGTAGTAAGAAAAAACTTAAAGCCCGAGGGAACCAGTATGTTAATGAAAGACAAAGTGTAAGAAAAGAAAACAAAGTAGTAATTCCCTCCAAGCCTATAGCATCTCCTTTAACTCCACCGGTGCTCGCCTGCAAAATCACTGGAGTGGTCCACATCACTCCTCTGCCTCCAAACAAAACCTCCAATGGGTCACGGATGAATCCCTGGCCCTAGACAAACCCCGTAACCTCTCTGAGCCCAAGGGTGGTCCTGGGAATCAAAATGGATACAATTAAAACCACCAACACGGTTCTTGAGAGACAAACGTCTCAGGGGTTGGGGTCTAGTTTAAGAGCGCGAAAGACCCAGCTTCTAACACAGCGCGGTCACCAATGTTGTCCGTACCCCTCACCTATGAATCCATGGGGGGCGGCTGAACTAAGTAACTTTTCGTCCAGAAATTAAAAAAAAAATAATAACCTTTTTGAGCATTTGTTGGCCTGAGACGGCCCCCTCCTGCTTTGGGAACTCTTGACCAGGAACTCCGCGAACTATGGGAACTTCGCCTGCCCAGACTTCACATTTGCCTCGTTCCGTGGACTCTGAGACCCCTCGCCGCCAGCGGTGCCCCACAAACCTCCTACCTGACGCGAGTACTGACGTGTCGCCACCAAGCCGGAACCCAAAGCCCAAAGAGCCGGTCCCGCCAGCTGCCTCGGGCGCAGGTGCAGTAACCACTCGCCGCTGGAAGCGGGGAGGGGGGGTGGTGCCAGGATGTAAGGGAAAGAATGCGCGCAGGCGCAGTTTCATTTGGAGGCTGGGAAAACCAGGGTGTCAGAGGAACGAAGGGCGCAGGCGTGGCTACTCTCGGGAATGGTCCTGCAAAAACCAGGCATCTCGCAAGTGTGCGGAGGACCTGACAGATCCCTGGTAGCAGTGTCACTACAAACACAGCTCCTAATAGCCTCCCAAAGCAGCAGGTGCTTTTGACAAGAGGTTGACCCCTGAGAGTTAATTTCGTCGCGGAGTGAGACACAAGAACACTTAGTGCACTTACTCCTTATTTAGACCTTAAATGAGCCTGAGCCTTCTTTCTGCTTTGCCCCTAATTAGCAAGGGGCAGCCTCTCAGTTCTGTTCCCTGTTTGTGAACAGTGGTACCAATACTCTCACGGGCTAATTGTGAAAGCTCAGGTTGAAGAGGGCATCTTCCATCCCAAAACGCCTGTGGTTATTTCAGCGGAAAAATTGGCTTTTACAATATTGTTTAAGGCTATCCATTCCTATTTGTTTTTCATGATGGCACAACTTTGATATGAGTTCTTGTCTCTTAATACAGGAATAATACATAATTCATATATCATTCATAATACAGACATAAACAGCTGCATGCCCAGAGTTCAACTATGGACTCTTCCAGTATCTGTTAAAGGATTCAAAATAAATTTATTAGGCAAACCTTTATTGAGCACCTACTGTAATATAGTAATTGCCCTAGGTATGCAGGATTGAGAGATGAATACGAACTTCGTCCTTACGTTTCAGGAGCTGTTGATTTATATCAATATTTATTATTTTAGCCTTGCTTATGCTTGGTTCAAAGAGAATCACGGGTTTCTAATTAAGCATCTTACTGAGTTGCTGTGGTTATTAGTTTATTACATAAGCGGTCTAGCTTAGTGCTTCGCACTTATTAGGTGCCCAAAAACAGGAAGCTTTTATCAAGAGCCTGACTTTGTCCTAGAGCTCTTGATCTGGTAGTAGAAATCAACATATTCTGTATACATAAAACTGTGTACACAGAATAGGGAATGACCGAATGATGGAGGACAGAAATCTGTAAATAGACAATCCAGTAAATTAAAGGCCGGGGTGGGGGTGGAGGGTGACAGTGAAGGTAATAAAGCTACAACTTCAGGGGCACAGTTGTGTGGCCATTTCGAAGGCCCTGAGAGTGGCCCTAGCAATGTTCCGTTGGTCTTGTACTTCAGGAAAATTTGCAAAAATAAGATAATTTTGCATTCTTTTCCTTTAAAAGGAACCCCTATTTCTTGCAAGGCCCAGGCCTCACATCTGCATCTGCCCCCGTGATGGTCCACTATGACAGAGGTAGAAGAGGGCTGGGTTGGGAGAAAACAAAGAGAAAAAAATAATTATGGAAACGCTTTAAAGTACAGGATCTCCTATACTCCTCACAATCCTATTAAGGCAGACACTTGCTCCAGCAGAGAGAGCTGGTGGGCTTCGAGCTCTCACTCCAGAAGCTCGGACACGTGGCTGAAGCCGGGCTGTACACCACTCCCAGCCCCGTCCCCACCCCCATTCCCGCCGTCCCGCACCCGGGGCATACATACTTGACCGCTGGAATCACGCGCGTGCCTGCAACGAAGCGCCGAAGTATCTTGTCCGTCTCGGCCACCGTTGCGGGGGTACGCCGGCCTCGATTTTTGCGCATGCCCAGAAGGGGGAACCGGGTTCCCACTACTAGGGGAGAGGCGGAGAGCAGGTGATGTGGAAGTCGGCGGGGGTTTTTGCCCGCGACACCGAGTGTGGGCCGGAAGTGGAGGAGTCGAGAGTGGCAGGCGCTGGACCTCCGGGCTAGACTGAGGGAACGGCGACAGCCCCTTGTCTGGAGGAGGACGATGAGGAGCGACGGAAGCGGCAAGGAGGGACGCTGCTACGCGGCGCCGGGTTGCGTGTCCGCGGCAGACTGCGCAGTTTGCGAGCAGGTCTAAGTAAGTGCGGTGCGGTTCTTTCAAGCAGCGGGGTCCGCTTTTTCCGCAGGGGTCGCGGAGGGTGGCTGGCAGGAGCTTCGCTGGTATCCTGTTCCCGAACCGCCTCCCGGGTAGTGCGGGGCTGCGCGCCTAGGGCCCTGCGGGACCTGTTCCCCGCCGCGCCAGCCCCGGAAGGAGCCCAGTCCGCAGCCTTGAGGGCGGCGGGTAGAAACCTCAACGAACGCCCTTTGTGGAAACTGGCGCGCGGATTACCAAAGGCCCTCCGGTGTCCTGCTGGGACTTGTTGCTTACGACGTATCCTAGAGTCGCTTGTCAGTGTATTTCCAGTAACGTGTAATACAGAGAAATCATTCCACCCACCCCCGCACTCCCCACACACACGAAAAGTGAAACAGAAATCCCAGGTACTAGGTCTGAGGCATGTGGTAACCCTGATCATTCACGCCACTAACAGGTTTACGCGTTCGAATTTCACGGCTGGAAGTTTAGGTGTTTAAGAAACAGCAAGAGAGCACCCCCATACAATTGAAGTCCATTTTGCTGTAGATTTTTGTGAACATTTATTTTCTGAAAAATGCGTTACTAGTGTTATTACCAAGGTCTCATAACCAAGAACCTTGTCTTTTATTCAGCAGCTTTTGCGTACGTTTACCGTGTAATAGTAACGGAATAGAAATACACACGAGGATATGGGCTTTAAGGGTTTTTTTCCCTTAAGTTTTTTTACTTGATTGATTTTAGAGAGAGGAAGAGAGAGACAGAGGAATTAACTTGTTGCATTCCTTTGTTGATTCTTTTATGTGCTCTGACTGGGAATCGAGCTCTAACCAGCCTAACTACCCGGCGAGTGCTGGCTTTTAAGTTTTGATGGTTGATTTTTACTGATCCTTTCCTGGTTTCTTTTGGCATGGATTAAATCATATTTGTGTGCATGCTTAACGATTTGTCTTTTACTAAAAGGTTAAATTTTATTCCACCAAATTAGAATTTGTGGTTGTCCATCAAGTGTTATGTCACAGTTATACTACTTAAGATACAGACAGCACAATTCAGCAGTTGTTATACAGACTTACTATGTGCCAGACATTGCTACCTAATGAAAATACAGTGTTGAATAAGATGAAGTCGCAGTCATCCAGGAACTTAGAATCGGTGGAAAGTGTAACCCAGAATCTGAGTGCCACCACATTGATTTGTACAAACTGTAGAATGTGGAATGATTGGCAGTAGGAAATAGAGGTCCAGGGATGGCTTTCTGAAGCAGCGGCTCCCTGAGCTGGGTTTTGAAAGAAAAATAAGGCATCATGTTAATTATTCCCTGTGTGCAAATACTCAGGTATTCTCCAGTGAGTTTTATCCATTACTTAATCCAATCTAACAGAACTTTTAGTTGTATTTCACTTACTCTATTCTGACGGATAGTACCTTAAGTTTTGCCTCGTAGAAGTACCTGCATTTATTAATACTATGGATTACATTTTATCTCATCAGTTTTGCAGTTACCTATTTCATCCCCTTTTTGCATATGAAGAAACATTTAAAGAGGGTGAGTGGGCAAAAGCCACGTAGCTATTAACAAATCAAGCCCTGAAACACACTCCACTGCACCACACTGCCTCCCATTGAGAGCTAATTTGAAATGATGAAGTCAGGCCAGTTTATGAATAATCTGTACTGGCAGATCTTGGCACACTGCCTGCTGTCTCAGTCACACCTCAGGCCCCTTGCCTTCTGAGGGTACTTAACCAAATCGTTCTGGGTTAATGACATAACTTGGTGGTGGTTACAAGAAACGGCTTAACGTAACATTTTTCTATGATCTCCCTTTTCTTGTCACTTAATCCCAGGGGTATCTGTTTCTGTTTTCCTTTTTCATTAATTTAGAACTCTGTTATTACTCAGAGATTTTAAAATTTTTCTAATTCTTATTTAGTTACCACAGGAATGTGTGAGACCCTTATTATACCCATTTTAGAGTATACCTAAAGAAGATTCTAGTTCTTCTAATTATTCTAATTAAGATTTTACCATCAGTGATAGATGTCTAATAAATTATTCCATTTTATGTTACTGTTTCATATAGGTGTTAACTCCTTTAGTAGTACATTTTACTGGAATTGTAAAGTTGTAGATTTCCAGAACATGGACCGGAATTGCATGCATTTACAAGCTTGCCTGAGAGTCTTACTTCCTCTGTAACATTGATTTTATAAGAAAATAAATTCTAAGTTTCATCCATGCCCTTTATAGTATTTAGCACAGTACCCCTTCATAAGTAGGAAACATTCTGAATTTCATTGTCTTAATTTGAACATCTGTTTTGGATTATTGGCCTTGTAGATTATTTCCTACCATTTTCTTTCTTACAGATATTTATACTCTTTGAATAAATTGTGACTCGCTTCCTTAGTGACAATAATATGTTGTCTTTTTTTCTGTCAGAGTTGACTCCCAAGTCTTCGGTGCTTTAGGTGAAGGGGAAAGCACAAAAATGCTACTATGTTGCTGCCTAGTGTAATGTTTGACATTATCTGCCCAAACAGATTTAAATCCCAGTTTAAAATGCTGTCTGAACTACTCAATTACTATCCAACATCTTCATAGGCAGTTATTGTTCATTTGTCCCATAGGACTATTAATACATACTTTTTCATTATTGATGACATGTGGGTAACCATTAGGGAAATAGATAATTCATTCTGTGGTGTCTCCAACACACCGACAGATAGCGATTTGTGTTTTCATTTCAGTTGTGCAGCTGGCATGGTTTCTTAACTTCTCAGTTCTTAGCAGAAAAGAAGATATATTCAGACAGGAAGACTGAATCTTAGTACTTAAGGAGCACCATGAAATACTCATTCTTCACCTGTGATGTATCTGTTAGCAGTTACAGGTGAATTTGCTTTCCACTTTTTACAGTCTTCACATGAACCTATACACTGTTCTATTACTTGTAGATATGTTTTTTAATGTATGAGCAGTTTTCA